GGGAAGGAAACAAAATTGTGATGTATGAAATATGTATTTGTAAGTTTTGGGCTGATTGCTGATGTAATTTCTCGCCCCTTTTTTCCTTCAACAGCAAAACCGATCATGAAAGAAGGTCTTGTGCACAGCAAAGCTAACCTTTGTGCATGATATTTCAGGAATTCAGACTTGGTCTTATTCCTTGTTGGTCACATGCCATTTAGGAATGAACGTTTCTTCAGAGTTTCGATTGCTATTCATTGTATGAATCCAGACTATGACAGACGAAGGTCAGTACACACTTGTAATAGAGTCTGTATTTGATAATGGTAACATTTATGTCTCTTTACAGTCTCTGTACATGGTTCAGTATTTTGAATAATACGAGTAGACTACTTCGAAGTAAATCAGACTTAGGGGAAGGTTGAAGAATTCTGTGTACTGAAAGGACATTTTATTTTTAGTTAATGTAGTCTGCACAGTTACAATTTATTAAAAATAGTGTTTATTCTTCATTTATTCCGGTATCATAAATTGAACTTATCTGGTCATATATTGAAATTCTCTCAAAACACGAAAGTCTGCCCAGAATTACCCTCCGTACATAGTTGCTTTACCTTCCCTTAAGTGTTCTCGTAACAGGATGATGTTTTTCCAGTGACGGCCTGCTGGATCCATTCCCGATGTTGGTCTCTCACCTCTCAGTAGTACTTCCTGCCTAAGCCTGTACTGTAAGGGACTTTATATCGGGCATTCAGCCAAAATGGTTGGTAGGTAGGCAAGAAAGAACCCAATGCGTGTGCCTTCGCTTAACCCCGAATATTCTGTTCTGCTCACTAATGTTTTCATGGCACTGGGGGAACGTGTTTTTGGAAGAAACCCTCCTTTAGGATCCACCTAGGAGTGTGTGTGTGTATATATATCTACTCCTATTATTCTTCCATCCTTCGTCACTGCAGGGAACAGCTGAACCACTCTATGCAAAACCGGACAATATCTCATTACTAAATAACAGAATGCACAGCATGTTTCTTTCTGTTGCAATTAGCAAAATGCCAGGATTTATAATTTTTAGAGCCACATCAGGAAGGAATGGGTTCGTTGAATCTGAGAATTAAAATTGCAAACAATTATTTCAGTAACACTAGAAGAAAATTACTGTTCTACGACGTTAATTTTGTGAAATTTAAATTTTCCCATATGACTGATTAATGAACGACACATAATAAACTTTTGCACAACTAATTACATTTAACCGAGTCCTTCGCGAGAAGCAAACGGTCACTCAACAAGTCAAAAAATTTCCCGTTCTTTATGTAACCGAAAGTTCATCACAGTGTTTACAACAGCCCATCACTGGGCCCTGTTCTGAGTCAAATCCATTGTCCATCCGTATGCTCTTTAAGATACTTTTTAATTTATAATTCTATTCGACGTAAATATCTTTAAGTGGAACGTCGCCTTAAACATTTTCCTACTAAAATTGTGTAGGCATGTCTCATCTGCCCCATTCGTGCTATACACCCTGTCCATCAGGTCCCTCTTAATTTGGTCACGCGAATAACAGAATGAGGAGTGAAATTTATAGAATTCCTCATCATGCAATTTTCCCTAGTCTCCTGTAATTTTGTCTTTCTTAGGTACAAATACTCTTCTCACCACTCATAATTTACAAATATTCTCATTTTAGTGCGAGAGACCATACCGCAGGTTCATATAAAAAGCAGCAAAGTTATTGTTATGCGTATTTTAATCTAAGTCTATACGCAATGAGATACGAAAGAAGAGTCTGAACATAATTTTTGCATGAATTTCCTAAATATAGTTTTTATAAATGGTTACGCTATTTGATAAAGTTTTTAAACTTCTAAATAACAATTTAAAAGGAACATAAAAGTAGAAAATATTAATGGTATGTTACCGATAATTTAAAACGTGATTAGTACGTCGTATTTTGGTTTAATTAAACATGCAAGATTCTTCATGTTAAAGTATTCGTGAATGTTTGGAATGTTGTTTATTGCGTAAGTTGGTTCCTTATGGAAAGTAATTTTATTATTTACTTATCCATTCCATATATTTATTTGATATTTTATTTAACAATTCTTTCTGCCAATCGCGAGGTGATTACATGCAATTTGAAGTGTGTGCTTTCTGCCTATGCATAATTTTTATGACATTCTCGTTTTGTTACAAGTGTGCGTGCGTGTGTCTCCTTAAAGAAAAGTGATGTTGTCTAAGTTTGTTTCTGTAGACTCAACAATTACTCGTTTAATGTTACCACTACGCTTCTCTAGTTTCTCGTACTGTGAAGTTGACCTCTCACCACCGAAATTTACATTGCTCGTTGTTCAAGGCGTCCCTTTTAGTTAATCCGACGGCTTTATTCTGTGTCTGTGTCTTGCATTTCTAACTTGTTATGAAAACCAACCGGTGTGTTGATATGAATTAATTATTTTATAAATACCGGATCTCGTGCGTCTCGAAGCATTCATATCTTATTAAATATGTTGTCACCTATCAGAATACAAAATTATGATTTCTTAAATGTTGTGTTTTGACTTGCCACTGAATTCGGATTTATATAACTTTACGACAAATGCGACTAATAGAGTTAGGCATGTCAATTTTTAAACGCGAGGAATTTTATGGAGATTAAGACTTGAAACATCCTCTTAGAAAATAACTAAAAACAAATAAATTAATCGAAGCACCAGAGTGAAGAACAACATAACTGAAGACGTAGAACTTAGAACAAAATTCTAAAAGGTGAAATTTGTGCTAAAATATTCAAAATTTCACCATGCATTCTATGCATCCACTCATTCTGGATAATCCTAGTTGAAACAGAAAACATTAGTAAATTAAAAATATTAGGCGACGGTTGTAAGCAGCGTCTGCGAGAACGTAGCAAGAGATCGCAGACGAAAAACTGCAAGCTTATGTTTTCAGCGAAATATAGCATTTGTTCATTAACTCTTATGTCACTCATTAACAAGAAAATGCGTGCTGAAAGTGAACGTCTTCCCGTATGTTATATCATGCAGTCTCGTAGAAAGTGACCAACGTTTCAGATGTACCTACTGCCTTCATCTTCAGCGCGGTGACAATGTAGGCAGTAATTATCTGTGAAACGTCGGTCTGTTTCTTCGATACAACACTGCGTAACGTCCCAAAAGACGATCACCTTCATATTCGTCACCGTGAGAACCTAAAATCACAAAATGCCTGTTGCTTAAACCGTTGTTGCATATCACGTCTCTATCATTTCTTTACAGTTACTCCATTTCCTGCCATTTCTTTTATTTCGTATTTTGTTTTTCATTCACAATCCTGTTTTATCCCCTCTACTTCTTGGCTTAAGGTTTACATTTTGGCAGAGAAAACAGAACAAAAAAAAGGAATGTCTGTGTCAATTATTTAGCTAGTGTAACGTTTGTCGATGTCCTTTGGACACGATGTATGTTCTTCCAAGTGTACGTTTTGCACTTGAAGAAAGTTATAATTTAAAGTAAGTTAAAGCTAATAACACGAATTTTAATTTTTACTGTGGAGTTCTTGAAGTAATATAATACTATATTAGTTTCGTATATATAAGTGCATGTTTTAGAGTGACATATGGGTCACTATTCGATTAATTGCATTCTTGTGCCTCGTAATCAAGAATCTATTCTCCATTCAGCAAAGTTTGGGCTGCAACCTCGAAATAAGCCATGCTTGATTTCTTCCAAATTCGTTTCAATTCATCGTATATAATCTTACCACAATTCGACATTGTCGTATAACTAATATTGTTGAAAACCTGTCATTAAATGAGCACATAAACTGTACATGTAATTCTTATTAAAGATTTTTATGTTCCTTGAATTATTTGCGTATACAAACATACAGTTATGAATAATAACATTCGCTTTTACACATTTCTTGTACACTTTTTTTTTTTGCTTGACATCGACTATGTGTGCCTAAAAGAGGATTACTGTTGCTAATCAAAGTGGCCACTGTGATATTAAACATTTTAAAACAGAAATTCTCTAAAAAAAGAAAAATTAAAATCTATTAAATGTTAGAATGTTCACTGAATATTCCAAAGTAATTCATTGTGAATTTTCAAAGTCCAAAGTGTCTCGATTTTTATAATTCAATAAATATTTTCTATTTCTGCATGTAATTAAGTTGGGTATGTTATCTCAGCGCATACTGCTCAACTAGTACAATAGTTAGTCCCGGATCGCAACTCGCCCTTCTACTTCGAGCAATGTTCTTATGTGTTCAAGACCCCTAAAACGGGTTATCTGTCATGTAGATAGGTGTTCCGTGGATTGTAGCGCCGTGTAGTCTGGTAGAAATTTACCAACGTTTCAGAGGTAATTGCTACCTTATTATGAGACCGGAGGTACCACTGAAACGTCGGTAAGCTTCTGCCCGGCTACACGGCGCTACAACACTGATGACACTCAACTCCATACTTTCTTCCTTGCGAACCTCAAATCTTACTTCGGTTATCTGTCAAATTAATGTGTCTTGAATACCACACCATTATATTTTTAAAAAACCTTTTGTATTTGACATGTCCTAGGAAGAATTAGACGAAGCGTTAGTGATTATACTACAAAATCTGCCTTATGATTTGTTCGAGGTTCTGAAGAAAGTATTTTTCGTCTTACAATCATCAGCGACATAATAAGAACGAGCAGAGAACAACACATGCATACACTTAAGTGGAAGAGCCCCCCAACCTCATCCCACTTCTTTAAAAAAATAACTGCTATTGCTTCTACCCCGTGTGACGTCGACTCATTTACAAAAGCAATGGAGACCGACTACTGCCCTAACCAAAGTACTGTATGCTTCTCTCCTTCCAACCACCCACACAAAACACATCCGAGTCACATGTGTTTTGAAGAAGGACTCACATGTGCATCACAGAGCGTCTTCTCTTGGTTACAGTACATGATACGCGTATCCGTAGAAAACAACACTTGGCTCTCTCGTGTGATGCGTGACTATATTAATACGAACTGACGTTTGCAGTGCACAGTAATGCGGCTAGTTACTGAACCGTGTTTAGATCAACTAAAAAGTTGAACCTTTCAGATAAAACGTCATGTGTTTTTATAAAAAAAGATTTTACTGCTCTGAATCTTGTGTGATCGTCTGGTTATGAAAGCATGTGTTTTAATGTCATATGAAGTGAGAGAAAGAGGCAGAGTTTATAACATATATCTGTAGAGAGATGTAGAGTGGGTTCAGTAGGGTATTCTGAAAATAGTTTTTCCGTCAGTGTTAGTCTGAAGCAGAAGGCTCATCCGCGAAGTCTTTCAACTTAACGACGGTACCAAAGGCTGTCGTATTTGGTAACGATTCGTAACTGGAGCCGAGAGAAGATTTATCGAGTGTTTATCATAGTGATACGAAATTTCGACTTTTTTCAGTAACTTTGATGGTGAAAGATTCAGTGGTGATATATTAAATAGAAGTGGTCTGTTACAGATAATAATGCTTAATAATAATTTATGTGAAAATAAAATCTTTCGTTTCTGTTAAACGATAAAATTGTATGGTAGATTGATTTATTTAAAACTCTTTTATCATATCGTGTACTTTGCAGTGATTCCTGCAGATTTAATATCCCCTGAAATAGTGTCTATTACTCATGTTTCACTGATTTAAAATTCCTGAGTGCAACTGTGGTGGAATTCAGGGTCGAAAGCAATTCAGCCCGTGTATAATAAGGAAAGTGTTTTCTTAAAATTAAATAAATCCTGCGACTGCTGAAATTCATCATATAACTCGTATAAAAATAGCTTTCAAGTTCCACCAGGAATATTTTGGAAAAATGATACATTAATGTGCTGATGTAGTTCATTATATCAACAGTTTTACTTATTAATATTCCGGTATTTTTAATATAATGTAACGCTCTGCTCTGAATCTCTTCCTTTGAAGATACATGTATAATAAAATAATAATGTTAGAAATGTAACCCAAAATTGGTAATTATTTATAGTGTGCTGTGCTGCGAGTGTATTTTTGGCATAAAGTCAGAAATAAAACTGTGACATGTAAAGGAGTGCGTTGTTATGGTTCGAGTTAGAATTTAGTGCAGAAGTGTTGAATTCCTTCGAAGAGTTAGTACTGCTGCCCCTGGATGTTAGACCACCCATCGTGCCAACATGCCATCGGACTTACACTCGATGAGGTGCCAAAGTCAGCAAGTTGCTGGATATTTTGGTGTCGTCCTTCGCGTCTTAGGTGTCGTTTGTTTCATCTGTGGCGTCAGTTCTGACGACGCAAAAGAATTTCAAAATAATCGTGAGTATGTTTCGTATGAACGTAAAAATAATGGTCACTGTAAAAATCTTCGAGGAGGGGGAAAAGTGTTTTAGTGAGATGTGTTCTTGATGATAAGTGGTTCTAGTGGTGTGTTTGTTGCTGTTTGTCAACCCTTATATGTCACTGTGACAGTATCTACATCTGTTGGGCTGACGCTGAATAGTTCAAAGAGTTTTATTCTTGTAAGGCTTAATGTGTTGAAGTATTTAACTAGAGGGGAATCTAATATCAGGAGACTGGGATCTGTAACGTTCTGAAAGCTTGTCCACTATGTCGTGAGAAACTAATAGTCGCGCAGATAGTCAAGTAATTCACCACCCTATATACAATCCAAATATTCATTATCGTGTTCTTAAGAGCCTGCCACTAGATCCCATCTTGGACCAGATAAATCCAATCCACCGTCTCACATCTTATTATATCTTTTTTTACACGAAGTGAATATCGAGAACGCATTATGGGCTAAACGTGTCCGTCCGTCTGTCCAGTCGATTCAACTCGAGAACCACTGGACGAATACAGATGAAATTTGATATGGAGTTTGTGCTATTATGAACGACCTAAAAATTGTACCTTTGAATAACCTACGAGCGGTGACAACAAAATAACGAAAGAAGAAATTTATGAGGTAGATATTGAGGTGCTGCGATCTGGTGGCTAACGTAGAAACTATCTAACAAGGTGGATTTATCGCCTTTAAATGTCTAAATGCACGTTGCAAAGTGCGCGTGAGGGTATTATGTGTCTTGACAGTGGTCTCGTCCCTTCATGTTTACCGACTACACTTTCATGCGCATTCTTATCTATTCCATACTTGTTACATGTCTTGTCCCATGTGTTCGTGAAGAACTCTTTCCTACTCATATAACTTAATTCATTTCAACTTTTTAAGACAAATTAATTACTGCACGAGTCACGTAATTTAACATTCATTTATTCATTATTTCGATCTCATGTGATTTATATAATAAACTGTGATTATTTCCCGAACTAGCATTTTCCATTTCATCTTTGTAATGGAGACGGATTTTCTATCTCGTTGAGTTTAGAAATTAAATTTTAAATATTATTAAATAAAGTGTGTTCTTAAAACGGTTAAATAAAATTTGGGCTAGCTGGATATAAATCTGTTTTTTAAGTCCTAACTTTATCTTAAAAACAATCTCAAATAATGCGCTGATATAGCGACGTTAGTGGTGTTGAAGATAGTTTTTGTTGTTTATTACTTTCTGCGTTTGTTAGGGCCGACATATCTTCGAATCAGAGGAATGTCACTTATGCGCACTGACAGGCTACATTTAATTGCAACTGTCAGTTTAATGTTTATCAGAAATATGTAATCACATATTCATTTAACACTCCGTCATTTAACGGTTCTATATTAACTACGAGGTTTATGTAAATCAGTAACTTTACTTTAGAACGTAGGGCTATACATTGAATGTTGAATGCCTTAGACTTTTTAGTTATACAGTCCCGCACAAACTATAAAATTCTCTTGTCCGCTCTTGTCTCAAGCGACTTGTATGTAAATATTTTTAATAATAGAATACAGTGACTTTCAGAAATAAAGGTATGAATTAAGACAAAGGATGCAGGAAAATAGAAAGAAAAAGGATTTGAGTTCTTGCTGTACTACGAAATTATGACCAATGTTTTCAAGTAAGGGAATGTAAAAGATATTGTGCGTAACTTCTTAACATAAAAATTCGAAGGCATTATATATTCGTCTTTTATGGGAAGGAATTTATTCAGCACATCTTTATTTAACGACTCTACCTATGTTAACAACGGTATTCCTACCTATATTTTGACACGTTTGACTTTTTAATTGTCGGTTTGTCTATGAATAGAACGACAATAAAACTGGCTTGAACCAAGAATGTATGCATACTTGTGTTACACATGATTTTACAGGAAGTACTCCTCGTTTCCCCCCCGCTCTATACATAGCATAACATCTTTGTTGCATATGTTGACGGGTATGAGGTGGTCATAAATCTAACTAAAGAGGCGACATCGAGAAAGTAAGATATAAAGTACAGAATGTAAGTTCTGAAACATAAACGTTCTTTGTTATGTTCCTGAACGTTAAGATTTATAGGACGAATGTAAGGTAAATTCAGCGAGCATCGTTTATGACTTGTTACACGACTTCTGCAATGTTATATTAATAGAAACTAAATAGTTACGTTTGCAGGTTAACCGCGGCAGAAAGTTTCTTATCGATGGTCCTGGTTGTGAGCTAAGAAGATAAACCAAACGATTGTGCTAAAAATTCACCCTATTAAACAAAACCGAATCACCAGTTTGAAATAAGTGAGTTTCGAGATAAAACTAAAATTGACTTTATACACAAAATAATTGTATTTATATAATTTATTTCAAGAGCTACTTCACTGAATACTTTAATTTTAACATTCGTTTAAAGTTCAAATTACATAATGGCTTGCGTTTATTTTGGGTACATGTCACTAGGTGTTAATACGAGACAAAATTATATATTCAGTGAAGATTATAGGTACATGTTCAGTGTGCGACACCGAAAATGTTATCTCCTCCCTTGCTATCACCCTGACATGACAGTCATTCGCTTGATTTAAGACGCGCCGATTATACCTAGAAAGAAGTCGACCGTCATCAATAATCGAAACTCAGCACTTTAACGCGACCACCAAGGTTCATTTGCAATTTTATTGCATATTTTATGTCCGTGGATCTAAAAATCAATTGTTCGCTGCAATGATAGTAGTATTACATCCCGTAAATGAATATATGAATTTTATGTTAGTGGATGCTGAGGAATAAATACATATGACATGTCAATTCTGCTTTGTTTTCTATTATTTGAAATGAGGTTAAATCATTTCTGTAAGAAACTTTAGGAGTCAGAAAGTTATGTACCTACTCTTGTCCTATTTAATAAAGTTGATGACTAATCTTTAGCCATAATAGAAGCCGCAGAGAAGGAGAATGAGGTGATCCATCTCCCGCTTAGACACGTCTCTTTGCCTGTCCGTGTCTCACGCATTGTAACTTCCATACCACCAAGTTAATTAAATTCAATTTACCACGCAAGAGGCAAGTTGCCGCATAACGCACAAACCTAACTTCGCCTCGCTCTGTAAAGTAAGTGAGGGGGGAGTTCAGAGGCTGCTACAAAGCTGTTGTTGTTGGTGCCAGAGGACAGGCTAATTAGACAAAAATATACGTATTATTTGTGCGGTACACGTGAAACCGTAGAAACGGCATGTGGCATGCAGGATAATGCGTGTAATAATTATTTGTTAATAATACAAAATTTAACAACGGTTCAATTATTTGAGTGTGCCAGAACATGATATCATGCATGTAGGTGTTAAACAACAATCAAATAATATTTTTTTACTTCATACTATCTCAAGCTGGCTGCCCTGTTAATATAAATGTTGCATTTGGTCAGAAAGAAGTAGTCTTGAAGTAATGAAGTAACATTTTTTCACTCATCATTATGGAATTATGTTAAGTACTATCCCTCAACTGAAACATTCGATTAGAATACTAACGTTCCCAAGACAGTGGACGAGAAATTTTAAAATTCAGCATTTACCCCTCCTGTTCAAAGTAACAAATACTTGTTGATGTTAAAGGTCATGAGTTGCAGTTTGAAGAAGCATATATGTGTTGATCTGTAAGCGAGGTTTTCTGACTTGAACTCTTTTGCTTCTGGTAGTTATTTTAGTCTCTAAACGTAGAGAAAAAAATTACAACTACAAAATGTTGGCAGACCTATAGTTCCTTTGCGATGTTCTTTTTATTTTTTCAAAATTGTGGACACATTTCGAAGTTTAAACAGACGTAATGAAAGATTTTAATTTTACAAAATCATTTATTGAACTTTATGAATGTGTTTTAAAAATTACTGAGCAGTTGTTCGATTTAGTTCGGATGAAATGTGTCTCGAACAGTCCTGCTTTGTGATATCTAAAAGACCTTTGCTTAACCGTATTCTTCATTACTCAGAAGACGATGCAGTCGGGAATTTGATGGACTTCGTAGTGTTTACCCCACGCACTCTTTTCGCATATTTCTATTACGATATTGCCAGATAAACAAAACGTTTTAAGGCAACTTAAACACAGATAAATGAAAACAATGACTGGAAGTACAGTTTTCACTTGTACAAAAATTAACTTGGTATTTGGAAGAAACTAAATAAAAAGCCAGGATTTCAGATAAAAAGGAGCAACGGGACGTGTATTAATCTGTGGAATGCTTTGCTCTATGTTCATAATTAAAACAGACATTAGCTCAATTATATTTTGGCCGATATATTTAACTGGTATGCGGATTATGTACCGGAAATGCGTTGATGTTACTTCCTTAAAACGAACGAGTTGTTACGTGAGGTTATGAAAGAATATGGTACAGATTATTAATAGATTCTATCTCAATTATGTCGGAGATTAGAGCCAATCAATGGTTATTTAGCGACTTCTTATCAGCGCAACAGATTAGTTAGCATCGAATGGCATAAAAGTGTCCTTACTTTATCAAACTACATGTCTAGAACATTAACGCTGCATCAACCCCGCTGATACTCAACAGTAAATATAAATCACGTTACTCATTATTATGTGGAGAAATGTAAATATCAATTTAATAGCAGCGTTTTTTAAGTTGAGTGTGCCATCCGAAAGAATGAAAAATATACAGGCCTGCAGGCCTGTTTAGAATAAAAGTTACGTAAAACATACAGCTTATCAGTTTATCAGAAAATTTGTCATTTCTTGGTTGGAAGTGAGGAATAATAAGAAATTCGGCTATTTGTGGTTCAGAAACTTTGAAATACTGTTAATATGTACAAATGGAAAAAAATTCTTCATGTGATTAGGTGCCGATAAACGTGTGAAGAGTATACATTCCCACAAACATGTCTTGAAAAATACTTTCAAAATTTGACACATCGGCCGTGTTCAAAAACGCTTCTTAACGTAGAA